TTTTCTAAATTTGATAACTTTGCAGAAAACCTGTTTTCATAATCTGTTTTCCGCGTCTAGATTCAAACTGAGTATGATAATAGGATCGCTGGAATCTTCAGTCAATGGCAACGGGTCTTCATTCCAGAACTCACATTTTTAGTTGATTCTCCGTCATAGTTCTTGTCTAAAGTCCCCATATCTGCTCTCTTACTGCCATACTTGCACACATTTCCCCTCCTTAAATTGTCTTCATTCAAATTACACCCTCTCGCCGATTTATATAGCCATTTCCCAGAACCCGGGAATCAGAATCGCTGATGTTTGCCATATTGAACATATTATATGTACTGTAATATCTGTACATTGCCTGCTACGCGTAATGGTCACGTGACTAGCGCGATACAGGAAAAATGGGGAATTTCGAAACAACAATTTTTGGGCACTTTTATTGCAAATTTCAGGTATTTATGAAGTGTTTGTGGTATAAAATATAATCCACAGACATAAATGAACATCCAAACTACATATTTCATTAAGTTTTGGAGCCTTTTTTGCTCTTAAATTAACATATTTAAGAGGACAAAATTAAGACAATATGTGAGACAATATTTGCGATCTATAATGTAGTATAATATATTAATGTAACCATCCTTTTAAAAAGATCTCTAAATTAGGTTCAATATGGGCTTTTAAGTCTCATTTTGAATTTTCTGAGACATGATTCTGATTGTTGAGACAAAGATGCAAAGATCATTCTTTCAGAAATGACACATTGTTTAATATGTTTAGGTGAAATACTGGGACTAAATATTATCCCTGCTAGTAGGTTTATGGTGTGTTGGTTGTATTGTCATTTGGTTAATTGGTAAGATGGTTGGTTGGTTGTATCATTGTATGCTTGGGTTGGATGAATGGATGGTTGGTTGGCTGGTGGGTACAATGGTGTTTTTGGTAAGATGGTTGGTTGATCATTTGTATGGTTGTATTGCTGATTGGTTGGTTGTATGGAAATTGCTGAGATTGTTGATTGGTTTTATGGTTGGTTTGTTGTATGCTTAACTGGTTGAGGAGATACTCTGACCCAGTAAAATAACAATTCATTATATAACGCAACATGAAGATAAACAAACTCTTTGGAGTGTCAAATCCATCAAAACAATAAACATTTCATTGGGAAAAGCAAAGATGAGATGGGCATTGGGGATCCTTGTTGAGCTGAAAAATACCACAAGACTTGCAAACATATTAAGCCCCATAGGACAGCCATGAAACTGCCTAATCAAGCTCTTGTTATCAGGTTTGCTTTACCCACATTTATTAATCCAAAACACTCCGGGCACCTAATTCAATAACTGGTATTTCATCATAAGCCTATAAAAGAATAAGTCAGGGAATGAGTCTGGAGGTCATCAACATAAACTTCATAAGCTACAAATTAGTAAATCAATTGTTGTAACCATGGATATAATGACACCACAGGATTTTATGAATTCTTAACTTTACAAAGTTCCTGTTCATAGACCCCTGGATACCCTTACAAATTATGAAAAATGCTAATGTCAGAAAACCAACTCAATCACATAATATTTTGAGCTATGAGAGAATATTTAATAATTAACAAATGGGGATAAACCTGTGTAGAAATACTCAAGAAAATGATGTTATTATGATGATTGTTCCTTCAATTGCTCAGATGATCTGCTGGCCATCTGATTTTTTGAAGATATTTCAATATGAATTGATTCATTCTACAAACAACTTGTGGTCCTTCAAAGTGAGGGACCAAAGGGGCCCATATCCTGACTCATCCTTTGAACTAAACCTTACCTGGCTTACCACTAGTATTTGGGTGTAATGCCTGGACAGAAAGTGGATGTATGAATGGATGGACAAATGATTTTTGTATATCAATACCAAATTTTGTTTGATGAGATAACAATGCATAACAGGGTGGGCCAAAAGATGTGAAAAACAAGAATATTCCATTATATAAAAATTCATCAGACTAAATGTACCACTTATGTGAATTGTATTCAATAAGTGATTAGGTACATTTAAATATGTGTAATGAATAAAAAATACATTGTACAGTCACTCAACAATTGAAATTCTATAACAATTAAATTTTAGTATCCCAAGTTTTTGGTCCACCCTGTATTAAATGTTATTAGTAGAGGCCAAGCATAAATATATAACTCATATACCAAGCACTTACAAGGAGCAAAGGAATGGGACTCCTGTAAACAATTGTACTTTTCTTAGGTTATGTATGAAAAGATTACGTTTTACCTGATCATAATTCTTTTTAAAGATGTTCATTTAAGAGCAAAAAAGGCTCCAAAACTTAATAAAATATGTAGTTTGGATGTTCATTTATGTCTGTGGATTATATTTTATACCACAAACACTTATAAATACCTGAAATTTGCAATAAAAGTGCCCAAAAATTGTTGTTTTGAAATTTCCCATTTTTCCTGTATCGCGTTAGTCACGTGACCATTATGCGTAGCAGGCAATGTCCAGTATTACAGATATTACAGTACTAGTACATATTTCAACATGGTCAATATGGCAAACATCAGCGATTCTGGTTCCCGACCATTCTGGGAAATATAAATCGGCAAGAGGGTGTAATTTGACTGAGGACAATATTTAAGGAGAAGAAATGTGTCCAAGTATGCCAGTAAGAGAGCAGATATGGGGACTTTAGACAAGTACTATGATGGAGAATCAACTAAAAATGTGAGTTCTGGAATGAAGATCCGTTGTTGACTGAGGATCCCAGCGATCCTATTATCCTACTCAGTTTGAATTTAGACGCGTAAAACAGGTTATGAAAACAGGTTTTCTGCAAAGTTATGAAATTTAGAAAATATGGATCTTGTTTTATAGTGGCTTAACAAGCATTTAGATACAAGACTTGGCGCTATCTCTTGTCAAATGCACGCAGACTTGCAGTAAATTGGCCATTGCAAATTGCAAAATCAGATCGTCAAATTAATCGTTTCGTTTTAAAACGTATGCTTCATATCTGCAGCCAAAACTTTAGGATTCGATAGAGATTAGTTATAACTTGTACAGGAATAAATGGCAGATCCTACCTTAATTTAAAATCGCTGATTTCTCTGGATAAATTCTGAGAAGAAATTAGTTCAACATCGCGACCAGCTCAGACTACATGCCGTGTGCATGTCACTCTGAACTGGCGTGATAAAATACGGCATCTTGATTGGTTACTACTCGTGTTGTCATGACGCGAAAAGCAGTAGTAAACACTGAATATGTTAATGGACTACCATATATGGAACAATTGTCTTTCTGATTGGTTAACTTTACACGCCTCCTAAATGAATATAGTAGTCGTAGTAAATAATTCATTGATAACTCTGAAAGTGGGTGTGACCAGCTTTATTTTGACACCAAATTCAAGATGTTTCAAATCAAAATGGCCTCGCAAGACAAGGTTGAAATATCAGCAATTTGATACTGATAAGGTCTACGATAAATCAAAATTGCCTGCCCCGCGTCACATGTCACGTGAGCCTATATTTGTTGAAAAATGAAAGAGATAGTTACACTTTTTAATCTTAAGTTAATACCAATATTACAAACACATATCTATTTTTTTCATTATATATTTATTTCTTCATTATATATACATTTGTTTTATACTACATTGATTCATTTTTGCAAAACCTTTGCTATTAGATCTTTAAGATTAAAATCTATGGAAGAGTCTTTTTACTAGATAATGATATTTTCTTTCTTATTTTCTATACACTGTGAAATCTGATGTACAGTTCTACCACTCCAGGTTATTGGGGTCCTCATATTCGACCCTTATCACCCAACAACAACAACTTGCATAATCCTAGAACTCTTTAAATCACAGTCGTACAGATACATTCTGGTCTCTTCTTCTTTACAAACTGTAATACCAAGAATTGTGGAAAACAAGGTGATGCAAATATATCAGGTAATGACATCGATATCTCACATAAGGTTGAACATAAAATACAATGTAGGAATAAGGCATCCTATTAAGATAGGTCATCTTGGCTCCTATTAAGATTGGTCTTCTCGGCTCTCACAGCATATTCAGAATACATATACAAAATACCACCTATATACTGATTTTTTACTTCTTCTTTCCAATAGACTTCCAACAAACCTCTATAGGTCTCTAATGATGAAAACCTCTTCAAAGCATTAAATTTAACCACAGCACATGTATATACACGATTCTTGCTTTCATTACTATTTTAATCAAATTTTGCTCCATCCAAGAAGGACTGAAAATGGCAGTGTCCTGGTGTCACTGTTTTGTGTGACATCACAATAGCATGATGATGTAATATATGTTACAATGGATTACAAGGCTATGAAACCAAAATAATTGAAAATAACTGTCATTTTGAAATGTTTATGAGCATATTTATGTTGAAATTTCACCAAACAATGCCTTATATCCTACTCCGTTCATTTGCTAAATTTGGTTGAGATATGTACACAGGGACTTTCTACCTCAGAAAAGTCCCACTTCTTATGAATCCCCCCTCGTACATACCTTTTTCTCATTAAATGTCTTGCAAAACCAATATCTTTATAATGGTACATAAAATTGACATCCAACTGGGGTAATCTGAAATAATTTATTGATTACATAATTATATATAAAATGCTTTTTCTTAAAAGATAGAAAACTTTCTCCCATGAAAAGATAATACAAAGATACAGGTAATGACATGGGAAACATTCGAACAAAGAGGCCATTTATTGCATAAGGGAACATATTTTGAGAACATTCAGAACCATATATGCATCAATTAGCATCCTCAACCATTTAATCTCTCTGGTGAACACTTGCCTTATCAAATCTAGAGCTTCAACATGAAGATTGTAGCTCTTCACTTCAAATATATCCCTCTTTTTTCTCTTCGATTATGGTGTACATGAGAGTTTCTTTTTCTACATTACCTAAAACATTTGACAATCAATAATATGGCTTAAGAAATAATATTCAGTTAATACAATAAATTGAATTGGATATGCTGAAGTTAACTGCAGATCTCTAGTATATAGGACTTTAATTTTTTTCAAAAATAGATATCACATCTTCTCTGGGGAAGGATAGTATCTTAAATAATCCATTCACTAATGTTTGACCTACAGGTTATTTATATAGAGGACTCAGATAAAAAAAATTTAGAACCCCTATTTCAAACATCCATAGACCTTTTCCAATGTCAATATCAGTATCATACCTTTCACACCAATAGATCCAAAAACCTAATCTTGCAGATCTTGTTACTCCCAGGCTCTTCTGCTGCCTCTCTATCTGCTTCCTTCTCATGCTAATCATGGTCATGAGTCTTGTTACCCTCAGGCTCATCCGCTGTCTGTCTGCTTCCTTGTTATGCTCATCATGGTCATGAGTTTTGTTACCTTCAGGCTCATCTGCTGTCTCTCTATCTGCTTCCTTGTCATGCTCATCATGGTCATTAATGCAATTTCATCTTATTTTTTTTATTTTTTTTTAATAATATTTGGTGATTGCTATAGGGTTACGAATTATTTCATCTCCAATTTTAAGTTCCTTGCATGTTGGAATCATTTTGCCTTTTTGACTTTTCATGATTGACCACATTAATTTCTGGTCTGTTTCAGCTGAATTGTCAATTTCCGTATAAATGGATGCTGTCCATTATTCAATGGCTATTTCTGAGTGTGTCGAAACTGTCGTTTGGCATTCTTGTAGTTACAATTTGATGTATTCAGCATTCCACGTGGTTGTCCATCCCGTATCCAGTCTTTCCGGGCTTCTCTTTGTTTGTGATGTAATTCCTTTACTTTTCCTAGTTTCCAGTATAGTTTGAGGAAAGGACAGAACTTTCTATGCAGAAGCGACTTACAACTGGATGACTTTAATGCATAAGAATCTTGTCATTCACAACATCAGTGCTATGAGTGCGTCCCTCTTCAACATCTGATATTACTTGTTGAAGTTCAACTGCCAGACAAGAAGTATGTGTTCCTTTAATGTGACCAAGTGACACTTTATCACATGCAAGAGAAGGACTTGTATATTTAGAATATGATGTAGATTCACATAGCAACATGGTGAATTAGTAACGTGGCCATGATTGGCAAATGATCTGAGCAATGGTAATTTTCCATGATTACCATGCAGTAAGTTACCCTTCCTTCTTTTGTGTAGGAATGATAATGATGGTCAATTGTGGTCAGATTTGCATGATTCCTTGGTCTACATGTCGTCGCATGAGAATAACTTTGTACTATCTCACATTTTTCTGAAACTGAGAAATCAAGGTTTGAAAGTTATAGTGGTCTGTAACTTACTTACTATTGCTATATAGAACTTGAATTTTTGTAAGTCACTTAGTCTCATCCTTTTATCATATGAAATATGGTATTTTGAAATTATTTGTAAGATCGTTTTTTAAAACTATGAAAATGGAGATAGTACAATTAAGCGCCGAGATAAAACCTAATTTTAAATTTGAAAAGATTCTATGACTAATTTGTGGAGATAATACAATTGATCTTTATGAAGTGGAATTTCTTATAATATTCTAACAAAACAACATAACTAAATATTAAAATGAATGACTTCAAAACTAAAATGTATTCATTATATAAGTCAAAATAACTGTAAATGATACATATGAAGAAAATATATAGTTCTGAGCAAAATTACACAATAGTATGCCATCATGCATGTATGGCCTTTCAAATTGATAAGTTATCATATTTTAACACAGCACCATGTTACATCATGTAACATGATAACATGTAATATTTTACACTCTGGAATGTCCATATTGTGTGAACTATAATACAAAAATAAATTACTGTACATATAAATTAATGTACATGATAGTATATAAAGACTAGAAAAATATTCTGAGCAGAAATTACACAATACAATGCTATCAAACATGCATGGCCTTTCATCTCTTTTTTGTTGTCTTACTTTTATTTAGCACAACCATGTGTTAAAGATAAAGATCCATGTAAAATCTTACATATTAAGAATATGAATTTAAAATGCACTGAGTTACTTTTTTCTACGCCTTTTTTGTATGTTTGCCTCAATTTCTTCTTCCTTGAAACGCTTTTTGTACTTCAGTGTGTACCTTTCAGGTGAGTAAGTAATTTGCTTTATCGATAAAAATGGTATACTGCTTGTGTCAAATGCCTGTGCTAACTTATGGAAGTCAAAGAAGTCTTCACTCTTCTGTTACTCGAAAATTTGCTTTTCTTTTAACACGCTTCAGGGCTCGGATAAGTCCATTTGGACTAAAGTAATCACATACTCTCAATTCTTTCTCAATCTGAGAATGTAAATTGTCAATTTTTTTTTTTTTTAATAATCATTTATTTCAAATATATACTATACATACAATAATACAATTATAACGTTTGACTAGGTTACAAGTAACATTATTGTCAAACTAAAAACCTTAATGTAGTTACATTCATAAATTTTTACTTTACAAAGAAAGATTCATTATTTTATTTAAAATGGTCAAGTTGTGTGCTTAATGTGTAGAGTTTGGTTACGGGCCCAGTAGGTCTTTGGTGGATTGCAAAAATGATACACTTGCTTTGATTATTAAAATATTAGTATTATGATCAAAATCAGGGTGACCAAATAAAAGCATGTCTATTTTATCAGAAGAATTACAATCTAAAAATGCCCTTAAGCAATCCGCCATATGGAGATCTCTAAGGAGTTGACATCTTGGGTTCGTGTATAGAGGGCACTGTAGAAAAAAGTGCTTTGGTGTTTCAGAGCGATGACCACAGGCACACTCTGGTGAAGGCACGTTGTTAAAATTATGTGCAAAAAGCTGGCTTTTCAAATAAAGATCTACTCTGAGTCTATTAAATGACACTTCATTTTTCCTTTTAACATTACTATAAGTTATGAAATTTGTACCATTGAAATTTTCAAAATGTGCCTTGATCCTGCGTTTAAAAATTGAAATTCGCTCACAATTTCTTATATCATCAGGTAAAGTATTCCAAGTTTCAATTGCTGCATAGAAAGTAGATTTCTCAAACCTTTTACTTATATCTAAAGGAATATTGTATTCTCTGAAAGCTCTTAGAGTTCGAGTTGGAATATTTCTGCAACCATTGAAAACTTGACTTACATATGGTGCTATTAAATTATGTCTGCTTTTGAAAAGAAAAGTACATAAATGAGATTTTCTTCCATCTGGTAACTTTGTCCAATTTAAAATATCTAACACCTTCTGAGTGCTAGAGCCATGCAGAGCGCCAGTTATCAAACAAGCTGCATTATATTGAAATCTGTCTAACTTAATCAAAGATAATTCAGGAGCACTAGAATATAAGATATCACCATAGTCAATTCGACTCAAAATGAAGGCATTATAAATGGTTTCTAAGTGTTTAGATCTTAAAACATGAGTCAACCTTTTAAAAGGGTTTAGCAAAGCTTGAGACTGTTTTATTAATTCGTTAATATGCTCTTTAAAGGTTAGTTTTTGATCTAAAATGATACCCAGGTGCTTATGGGTATTTTGTTTATCTATTGGGTTAGTTCCCAAAAATAAAATTGGTTCATTTTGAATAACAGTTGTTGGTGAAGTGAAAGTCAAGTCAACGGATTTTGAGGCTTTAAAGTTCATTTGCCATGTTTGGGCCCAGTAATATATTTTGTTAAGATCTTGTTGTAAGTCAAGACAATTTTGTGGCTGATCTTTTGGATAGGGGCTAAAAATTGAAGTATCATCTGCATAGATAAACAAATTGTCAATTTCCTGTAAATAACTATGCCCTGCCTCGCCATACTTGTGTATGATGACTTCAATTGATGGGTTTTCATGTACAAACAGTTTTAAGGCACTAGTCATCATCTTATTTCGATTTTGGGGAACACACGAGTCTGACCACAAGATTATTTTTTTAACAGTTTTGTCCTCCTTTACTATGTTCAGTACTCTATACAGCGCACTTGCTATCTCACTTGCACCTCTCCCAGCAGTGCTTTCAGGCCAGACAATGCAATGAGGTTCCTTTTTATTGTCTTTCTCAGCCAATGCTGTCAAATTAAAGAAATTCAATTTGCGCATGTAGAAAAATGATCCTATTTCACATTTAGGAATTGTCAATACATTTTCCATATCAAAGGACACCAGCACTGTGTCTTTTCCTAATTGCTTTCTATCTTGATTCCTTTCTGTGCGTGTCTCATCTTTCGCCCTTTTGTGAATTGACAATTTCTCTTTCACCTCTTTCGTTATATTTTCAAGATTTTCTATTGAACATTTATCACAGAGATCTTTTTTGGGGACATTAAACGAGATGTTAAATTCTGTATTGAAAATGGTTCTATACAAATGTTTTTTTAAAGGGTTCTCCTTTTTCTTTCTGCAATGGTCAACATATAAATCATACATCTTATTGACATTTAAATAACCCTCCAAGTATTCTCTGTGTGTCCCTGATCTACAATAGTGACTTTCAATTCGAGGAAACGAATTGATATGCGCCCTTATAAAAATATTTCTTTCTTTTTCAGATTTTTTCCATCTGTTCCCTTTATTTGGTCTCTTTGGTACACCTGTATTCTGATCGAGAATTGTTGAGTAATAATATGATATCATCCTGGACGATATACACAGAGTTGAAAGGTAGTATTCCTTGCATACCCTAATCCTGTCTCCACCTAGATCACAGAAATAGTTAATGGTAAATTTTCTCCGTGATTTTTTCCCTGCTCGTTCTCTTGCCTTGATGTGACGGGTTGTAGTTTTTGCAATGTATTCATGCTTTTCAGCTCTACTAATGTTCCAAAAGTGGTCATTTATCTTTTTTCTGTCTGTGTCAGATATGTTCAGAGCACATTTGTATTTACACTTGCCCCGACAGTCTTTAATTGATGTAATCTTTCTTTCAGGAATTTCTTGGCCTATAAAGCAGCCCATGCTCTCTTCTGTCCTTAGCTATGTTGCATTTCCAGCTGCTCTTGTTTATCGTACGTTTTCTTTTTCTTTTCAGAACTTGATACTTCAATATTTGGTACTGGTTCTGGTGTGACTGGTAGATTTTCTTCAATCGCACCATTAACATACTGCATATCATGTATATTTGGCACTGGTTCTGGCATGACTGATGCCTCTTGTTCAATCACACCATAAACACACTGCATATCATGTATATTTGGCACTGATTCTTGCATGACTGGTGCCTCTTGTTCAATCACACCATTAACACACTGCATATCATGTATATTTGGCACTGGTTCTTGCATGACTGGTGCCTCTTGTTCAATCACACCATTAACATACTGCATATCTTGTATATTTGGCACTGATTCTTGCATGACTGGTGCCTCTTGTTCAATCAAACCATTAACATACTGCATATCATGTATATTTGGCACTGGTTCTGGCATGACTGGTGCCTCTTGTTCAGTCACATCATTTACACACTCCACAGCCCTATTTATGGCAAGTACAAAGCTACTGTAGCTACAGTCTTGCATATCCATTGTCTGTTGTTCAGAAGAGTTTAAACTCGCAGTCACAGTATCTGCAATTAAGAACAGCAAAACCATATTTATTTTAAATTAACCATTTGCTTAATAGATAAATAAAAAAGATTGCAGCATTAGTATGATTATGCTAAATACCATAGGATTATACAGAGAAAACTGACAAAAGTCACTTAATTTCTTGAATTATCCAATATTTTAGATTAGGTTGACCTAAAGCTCAATTAACATGCATATTATTAGATGATCTTGCTGATATACTAATTGTGATTAAACCTGACATTGGGAGCATTGCAATATAACAAGAATAATACTAAAAAGTATTTTACTTTGGTCTGAAAGTCGAGTCAAAATTTGCCAAGCTTATTGTTTCAAACAGTGATAATCCAAAGAAGTTGAGATTTGGTAGTATCCTCAATACTGTTAATATCTCCGAGTAAATGAACTCTGTGCCTTGGAGATCTAACACAAATAGTTTACTTCTTCCTTCCTTAAACACGTCACAGATTGCACGTGCCGAGATACTTGTGTGCATTATATAAAGTTGCTCTATATTCTGTAATTGTTCTAGTACCTCAATATCACAGTTCTGAATGTTGATGCAATGGTTAAGTGATAGTATTTCCAGCGACTTAAGATACTTCAATGCAAACAATGAGGATACTTCAGTATTGTCAAGTTCTAAATATACAATGTTTTTTGCGCAACTAAATATATTGTTGAAGTACAAGTCTTGAAGCGGTGCATTTATTGTTATCTCTGCATTTCCGCCTAGAAATGTTGTGAAGAAATTGCAATGTTTGTAGATCTTCTGGAGGGCTCTTTCATCAAGATTAATAGGATATGAGAATGAAAATGTTTCCCACAGCTTATTGTTATTTTCCACAATATAGTTCCATCTTTTGTTCACAAGTGAGATGGTTGTAGTTAGAGTTGGTAGATCTAGATAGCTGGAAATTTGATGAATTATCTCATCAGGGACATCATCTGAAATGTGCAGAAATATTTTAGTGCAAACAAAAATGTTTCTTTTCATTTTTTTAGATACAAATAACATGCACATTGGAATATTGTGTTTTAGTATGAAATTGTATCATCTCCAAATTTATCTATTTTATGAAGAAAACTTAAGAAATATGGAAAGTTCAGCAATGTTTATACTCATTTGGGAAGACAAGTAGATGAATATGTAATAGTTTAATTCTTGACAAAACCTGTCTAATAAATGAATATATAATCAAACTAAACTGAACAAAACTTACCAAAACCACATGAATCCACCATTTTGTCCTTGTGTAACATGACTAGTTCTAAGAGACTTGATTGGTTGAAACAGTCTACTCAGATATGACAATTCTAAACTACATTTTAGAGATTTTCCTGGAGATAGTACAATTTAGGACTGAATTCTAGCTAATTTAAAGAGAGTTGTCATGGGGCATGTACCTGAGATGAAAGCCCATGTTCTGAATGGTAAAATTCCATGTTCATCTCATTTTTTATAAAAATGGCAGTTAGTACAAAGTTATTCTCATGCGACGATGTGAAGGCTGGGCCTTTGCATTTTGAGTCTACAATTATCGATTGCATGCATAATTCAGTTAAATAATCATTGAGCAAAATGCTCGTTGAGTCTATTCTTAACAAGTCTTGGGCCATTGATATGAGCATTATAATCTCCGAGAATAAAAACACCCCCTGATGATGAATAATATGTCTCGTAGGTTTTCTAGGTACTCAATATAAGTGTTAAGGGAATAATTGCTTGCTGGTAAGTATACAGAAAATATATAGATACGTTTATTTCTGTAAACAGTAACCTCTATACCTACTATCCTGTCAATTGTTATGTTATTTTTTTTTTTCACCTGAAGTTGCAATTTGCATTTCCAAATCATTGATACCTTCCCCTTCTGTGAGAATAGTACGGATTCAATGAATCATCTGATCGGGAAAAGAGTCATAATCTCTGTTAATGCTGTCAGCAAAGAACATGTTATCATTAAATAGTTTATGTTCAGATATTGCACATATATCAATATCATTAATGTTTAAAAGCGAATGTCTTAATGGATGCATTTTGCACAGTGTCCCATTTCATATTTTCTCAAATTATTGGCCTTTGCATGTTCTGTACTTTTGATGCCTGTCAGGTCGAACACTCTTAGCAATTTCTTCAACCATGACTTGGAGGTGTCATCCAGGGTCCAGTCATCACTTTTAAATCTTTTCTGCCACCCAACAATTGTAGTTCTATCTGTTGTATACTCCTTTTATACTTTCTTCATGGTAGCATAAAGTTGTGTGGCCGTGAGTCCAAGTGAAGCATGAAATTGGGCCACCAAACACAAGGCCTTCTGTAATCAGGTGAGAATTGCAGCCATTTTTGCAACTTATTGACTGTGACTGAATTTGAATTTGTGACTATTGAGCTGTTGTATCATGACTTCACAGTGCTAAATGTTATTATTTGTACTTGATGAACATAATGCTGAACAAATTTAGTAATTTCCAAAACATTTTTATCATTTAAAAGAAAGAAATAATAAATAACATTTTGGAGCTTTTAATAATTAGAAAATTGGTACTTACCCCGCCCACCCCTACCACCGTGTTGCTAATAGCAACAATTTTAAGACTTATTTTAATGTGTGATGCTGAAACTTCAAGATATAACAAATAAAACTTCAATTGGTATATACACCAAATTTCAGCTGAATTAAAGAATATTGAAGAAAGTTAGAGCATATAGTGCATTACTTCTGGGACAACCCTCGTATTAATAAGTCATATATAAAATTCAAGAAAAAATTGAAGTATTACTTACATAACTTTTCTTTGAATTACATGACTCATTTCTTATAAAAGTATAAAAAACAAAGTTGACTATACTAAAGACTAGCTATTTGAACTTATTTACAAAAATGCTTTACATAGCAGTAGTGTTTACATGTTAAATGTCAATACTGTTATACTGTATCAGTCATTGATACAAAAATACTTTAATATACATGTACTGTACTAGTATAGCAGCAAGTGTCTATAAATGAATGTTCACATAATACTGCTATAAAGTTGAATGTTCACATAACACTGCTTGCAGAGTCACTGATCCTTAATAAATGTCTGTGTTAAAGGAGCATGGTTAAGTGGTCATGGATAGCTCCTTGACAGATATATACACAACTGTTCTAGTGTCTGTTTCTTTGTTTCCTGGAATTGTCATATACAGGTCCAGTGTCATAGATAGGTCCAGCAGTACATCTTGGTTGTTATCTCTACCTGAAAGAGCTTAGTTTTTGTTATCACTTTGGTCATTTGAAGCACAAGAGGTAGATGGGATAGCCTGATCACCCATTATAGGAACCTCAACTACTGTTTGGTCTAACTCTTCCTCCAGACTTTCATTTGAGTTTACCTTAGTTGCTTTTCCTAGAATCTTATCCCATGTTTTCAGATTTTTTTAACTTTCATTTTGAACTTCAGTTCTTCACTCTTTGTCCTGTGCTTTTTGCTGGATTTAACTGGTTTTAATATTGGGGGTTTAGGGTCCTGGGCCCTTGCGACACTGACAGAAGGCTTGGTGAGATAGCGAGATGATTCTTCAAGGGAATGGTTTGGAGGGGAGAGCATTTAATATCTTCCTCAAACTTTGGGCCATTAATTATTATCCACAATGTCAATTATAAGGGTAACTGGTCAACTCATACCCAAGACAACTCGTACCCAAGTATATATTTTGTTTTGAATCAAGCAATGGACTGGGAATGTGAATAGATATACATATTATAATTGTAACATACGAGACTGTTCAGAATAGTTTAAAGTTTGAAGAAAATTTTTTGGAAGAAATTGATTTAATTTTGTGATATTTTGAGCTGAGTGTCAATTTATATTGACTTTTATTTTATATTGGTCACAGATTCAGGATGTCCGAGTGAAGAGACATATGTTTATTCCACATATTCATAATCATTTTTCAAAATATTGTATGTTTATGAGTGTTTGGAACAAGTGTCAGATCTAATGTTGTAATTATATTTATTTATATATATGTTTGACAAAAAAATGTTGAGAACAAGCGCTTCAAGCACTTCTTTTATTTAATAAAAAAATGCTTTACTGATCCATTGAGAAAAAATCTCTTCTAAATTCAAAAAAATATTGAGGCTTATTTGATTCACATTATAACATGAAAGCATTACAAACTGAATTTTTCTCTAATATGCACCCATAATACTGAAAATAATCTTGGGTACGAGTTGTCTTGGGTACGAGTTGTCTTGGGTACAAGTTGTCTTGGGTACGAGTTGTCTTGGGTACGAGTTGACTAGGAAGCAATTATAAGTACATGTAAATCGAGAAATAAAAATTTCTCACCAAAACCGACACCCTGTAAAACCCTGTTAAACTATAAGTTAGAACAAGAATATTGAGCATTATATTAACTGTTGAGATCTTGTAAGTTAAAGTTGCAAAACCATGTGAGTTTTTTGAAAATTCAGATTGTTTTCACTGCTTGTAGGGTTATCTCACATTATTTTTAATTAAATATTAGTTAGATGTATTGTTTATCATCATACATCACTAACATTTTAAATTATTACTTAATATCCCTTCAAACAGTGTTTAGTCCAACTAATATAATTTTTTAACACATTTACTTGTGTGGACAATGTAGTGATGCATTATTACATCGTTGACAGTTGAATCTTGTGAAAGAACGTATGAATAGCAATGATTTTAAACATTTCAATTTGAATAGTCGATACCCAATCCTCCTAAATGTAACGGTACCTGGATATTTATATAGGAACTGTTGCGTAGCATCATATGAAAACCACTCCACTACCCATTGGCAATGCACACTTTGACTAAAGTAATAAATGTCCTGAAGGTTGACAAGCAGCCAGATTCGGAAATTTTTCTGATGGCATCATCTCTATCATCTGTGTAGTTGTTGCAGTTGTCATGTATTTCAAATTGTAGGATTTAAATATACATAATCATTGTTGTTTTTGTTGTTTATTCCATTGTCAGTCCCATTTGTTGGATTTAGATCAGTGTAATCATCATTGTTTTCATTTTTTGAGCTCGTTTTATTTTTGATTTCATTGGTAGAGGTACATCATCAAAATCATGTGTCTCCACCCGTGTAGCTCAGCGGTAGCGCAGGTACCTCTTACGCAATAGGTCCCGGATTCGATCCCCGGTTCAGGCAAGACTAAATTTGCTTGTTTGCGTGAAGTACTTCAGGGTATTTGACTGAGTGGTCCGCAACTCGTACAAAAGGCTATGGTGTGTACTTGTATGTCTATGTATAAGTGCACATAAAAGAACACAGGGCTCCTTCAAGGAGGTTGGGTCTATCTTCCATGTTAATTACGTAAATTACGACCGTATATATACGGGACATACCCAAGAGGTATTGCTCACCTTCATTGGTGGTAAACAAAATACAATACAAAACAAAAATTACATTCCTGTGTATTTTTCATGGCCATTTCATTTTCACATTTATTTTGGGTCAGCAATTTTACTTTATCTTCTGATTTATTTGATTCTGTGAGACTGGGATGTTCTTCATTGTCAATTTTAATGCTTTTTCCAGTTGCCCTTATTTCTTATTTTTCCATTTGATTTTAATTACATTGTTACTGGTTTGTAATCAGCTGATCAATTACTAGTGGTAACATTCATATCCAACTAACCTGTAGATGAAAAACTTAAATGACACACATTCTAATCAGGTAATACAAATCAGGAATGCAAAATTTTTAACATTGTTAAATACATTTATTTTCACATAATTGACTAAAGAAAAATGAGTAAATATAGAATATATTCTACATGAAACTGTAAAATAAATTCTCATGTAATAACTTAACTATTCCAGATGTAGGAAATATGAATTATAACAAGGAAAGTGGGAAACAAAGATTCTGGTCTTAGTGATCAGATTTTCATGAGAGGAATCAAAAAGGTTAAGACAAATGTTCCGAAAACCTCTCCAGAAAATTCAAAATCAAAACTTGTATCCTAATTGTGTGTCAAAATACTACCACTCGATTTGAGGTTCGTAGAATCACTGCTGCTGAGATGTATATGATTTATATATGGATGCACTAGCACATGTTTACATCACAACACGAAAAATATCAATAAATCACTCATAAATTGTAACAGTAACATTAATTTGGGAATACAAGGGATGAGTTATTACAGGTATATCATAGGATGTTCCTGGGAGTTTTGTATTTGCCTAAAACACTAGAAAAGAAGGAGAATTCAACTTTCATTTTCATAACAATTACACTATGAGTTGACCATTTTGGGAGTTTTATTCACAGTCCATCCGTATAGCTCAGTGGTAGCACAGGTACAATGTACCTCTTGCGCAATAGGTCCCAGATTCAATCTTTGTTCAGGCAAGACTTAATTTGCTTGTTTGTGTAGAGTACTTCACGGTGTTTTACTAAGTGGTCCACAACTAGCACAAAAGGCTGTGGTGTGTATTTGGATATCTATGTATAGGTGCACATAAAAGAACACAGGGCTCCTTTGAGGAGGGGTTTCCGACTCTATCTTCCAAGCTAATTATGTTAATAATGACCGTATATATACGGGATATACCCAAGAGGTATTGCTCACCTTCATTGGTGGTAAACAAAATGCATTACAATATTGAAGCTAAAGGTGTTCATTGACACACCTTCAAAAAATTTTACCGAATTTCGGTATTACAAAGTGTTCAAATACGAAATATGAATATACTTTCCCTCCAAGACCTCCATTTTGCCGGGCTATGTCCACACATTTCATCATTGCTTTAAGAAATTGTCCACACTCATGTAGTCTAGTAGGAAGGTATTGTTCCCATGCACCCGAAAGATGTATTTTTTTATACTTTTTTGTAATCCTAAAGGTCCATACTAAAGATTTTTGCATGTTCCCAGAATGAAATCTTGTCCCATGGTATCCATTGGCGGCCATCTTGTCGGCCATCTTGTCGGCCATCTTGAATTTGCAGAGTTGATATTAATTCTATCAAAGTAGAATAACTTCCACAGTTTTGAGAATTGAAAGCTGTAAATGGTACCAAAATGAAGCTATAACTATACCCTACATTATTAGATACAATAATTATACAAATTACCTCATTTGCATAAAATGTGACATCATCAATCATAGGTTTTGCCTTTTTTATACGGTAACACACATTACCCTTCCCTCAGAGTGACCAGTCTTGGTCATTCGTGAACATAAATGATTCTAAATATATATTAATTTTGAACATATTTGCAATTGAAAGTTATAAAAAAATATTGTCAGAAATTAAGTTATAACCCCTCAGATGGTAAGCTACTGAAAAGGGGGCGTGGCACTTCTTGTTGAAAATCAGTCATGTTATTATACAATCAATGTATCATCTGTAAAATATAGCTTTTGACATTTGGAAAGTAGCTTATTATAATCATTTCAAACAAATTCTTTCCTTTGGCATATATCAAATGTTATCTAGTCATCATCCAGCATATCATCAAGCATCTCATCAAGCATCTCATCAAATTCATCTTCTCCTTTTTCTTCATGTTGCTCTACTTCCACTATGGTCTCCTCAATCAGTTCGATAAGAGATGGGGGGAGGATGGGTCCACATGACCACAGTGGCTCCAAGATTCCATTGCTTTTCACCCAGCCTTGTCCAGGATCATCTGGATGAGGGCAAACAATGTTTGGTTTGCCAGCACGTTTGTATATGGCAATACGGTGGTTTACACGGCCAATATGTGGTATCAGATTATCTCTGCATGGTGGCAGCCTTGATAGGTCAACGTTTGATTTTGTCGTGAGGCACTGATCATCACCCACCATCTTAGTGAGCATTAGACTGCGTACAGCATTTACAGATCTTTCCCTTGGGTATCCATACATGAGACATGTGAATACCACAATATCTTTCATAACGTCTTGTGATACAGACCATTCGTTTCCAAGTTTCCTGAAAAAATAATTATAAGATCATTCTGAATTCTACCTATTGAAATAACAATGGTTATGTTTTATTTTTCATTGTTAAATGAAGGAAGTGCCCTCACCTAAAGGCTGTGTGGTAAGTTGGGTGACTCTGTAGCTTCTTCAGAGGTCCAACCATGCCTTTACCCTTAAAGGCGCTTGTCACATCTTCACCTGTGAATACATATAAACCGAGAAGCGTTGTGCAGTAATCCGATCCAAGTTCACTTGCTATTTCAGTAATGTTAATAATTTTTCGATTTTTTCCATTTCCAATATCAAGGAAGATGGTGATTGCAATGGAGGATGCATGGTGTAAGAGTATGAAGAAATATCAGTGTCTGGGGTTCTGACGACCGCGGACTTGTACCCTAGTTTGATAGCATACTTGAGGTAGATAACAACCCGGGTATCTGTCTCTTCCTGATTTGATGCCAGTTCTTTGATTTCACAAGTGTTGACCTGAAATATAGCAGTGTTGAAAACTTTGTTGTTATCATTTGTAAGAATGACTTACAATATCTAGATTTCACAAGTTTATAAACACTAACCTCACCATCTGAAGACTTCAGCTCATATGCCTTGCCACCAACCACTATGACCGCTTTCCTACTTTTTCCGACTCGAGATGCTGCTTCCTTGCTTCCGCAAACTCGTAATAGTAGTTCACTGAGCTGTGTCTTATTGTCTTCATTTGCCAAGAACACCTTGAAGTCACTAGGTTTCCTAGTTGCTGAACCATCTAGAATATACTTCTGAGATGAGCCACGACGCTGTCTCTCCTGAGCTTTGATTGATTCAGCATAGTATGTGTCAGTTGAAAATACAAAATCTTTCTTGGCCACCATCTGATCAAGCATTTTAAGACAAATTGCACCAAAAGTTGGGGGAAGGTTAGTAAGCTCATGGAAGAGAGCATTTCCGTCCTGGATATGGATAGCATCCTTTGGGTATTGTACATCATCAGAAGAAGCATCATCCATTAGGCAATGAAGTATTGCAGCCTTGTTGGTCTTATTGAAGAAGCCATCTGTGGTACCAAGGCTGTGTGGAACAGGTGTTAGGGGATACTGCATTAACTTGTCAAAGTTAAGAGGGTCATCTAGCTGCTGTGACTTGATGAGAAGTAGGAAGGCGAGGTCACTTTGCTCACGGTATTGGATTACCTATGAAATAATATAGGAATGTTGTAGACTTATATTTAACTCTAATGTAAAGATGCTAAGATCTGAAGATTATATTTAATTAAAAGCTATTTGAGAATGTACCTTTCCCTGTGGGGCAGTAAGCTTGACTGTCTTACTAGATGCCTCCATTGTCTTGAGTTTCAGCTTCTTGATTGGCTCAAAGAACTGTGCCTCCGAAGAACCATTCACAAATCGATCACGAATAAATGCATCCTTTGCTGCCTTTCCAGCTGCTTCAGCAATGAGTACATCAAATTCCACTTCCGGAGAAACGTAAGCACCAGAAGCCAGACAGTACAGATGGTGTTTGTCAGTCAAAGTAAAAGGATTTGTGAAGCTAAGAATGGCACTAATAGTACGTTGAACTGCCTCCTCAGACTTTTTGATTTCAGAACGCTCCAATTCACGATGTCGCCCTCCCTTTGGACAATCTGGATCATCAATTAAGCCACACACAGCATTTTCTCGAAGTACTGAGTCCTGGTTGATGTTGTACGACACCATCACTCATAAGCACCAAACATGGAGAAAAGCCCCACAAATCCACCTAGCAAATACATATATATTGTAGTGATAGGACTCAAGTGCAGCTTCAGTGGTAGAGCATATGCCGATGTTACAAGTGGTCACATACACTTGTGATTCCTCAAAGAAAGTTTGCGATATTTTTAAAAAGCAAGGTCTATTTTTTTACCTGTAGACTTGGCAAATTTAATGAAAGTCTCTGCCATTGTCTTGTCTACACCACTCAGAGATCCTGGAATGAGAGACCGTGCCACTGCAATACCACCATTCCTGAGTAGTTCTTTGGCTCCAGGATGAGTCCTGTCGATATTTGTCAAGAAGACATCAAGCCACACTAAGTACCTAGTGAGAAATATGAGTTAACGCATGTACCTAATTTATGATCATATTATGAATTCAATTATACTTTGGTTTACTTCAACTGTAAATTACTTATGTATATTTAAATTACCGTGAATAATTTGGTCCATCAAATGCAAAGAAGAGGTCTGCCATTTCACCATTACACTTGTGAAACAAGGCTAGGTTGTTAGTCTTTACAGCATACTGCAGCATTAGAAGGAGGCGGATATGGTCTATGACACTCATCCAGAAAGTGGCAGTTTTCCCAAGGTGCCCATCACGCACTTTGTCTTCATAGCTGACATACTTTTCAAGGATGGTCAGAGTGGATGGGTCTTTCAATGCAAAGTCAAGATGCTCACGGCTACAGGTTTGAACAAGTTCAAAAAGAGCCATGGGGTTGATAACATCAACACTTTCGTCTTCACTAAATCTCTCTATTAGCAATCGCTCCATAGCTTCACAAACTGTTTTTAAGCAGAAAATGGCCTTGGCATATGCCTTCCCTTTCAGTACACTATTCAGGGAACCACTGGTGACAAGTTCTGCTTCCATGAGTATTTCAGAATAACCAGACCCCATGCATTTGTGACCGGTTACCATGTTAATATAGTTCATCCCAGTGTGAAATGGCCCAGGGGTAACAACATGCTTCTTATATTGCTCTGGAAACTTCCAAATGAGAGGGAGGGCCTTCATGCAGCCACCAAGGTCGAATGTACTAAGAACAAACTCCTGGCCTACCTCAGTCGTAGCATCCTCTGACTGCTTCAGTAGCTCTTTGATGACTGAATAGTCAGTGAAGGATTGGTGAATTGGGGTGAAATAATCAATAGCTGACTTTCTAGGAGGTGTTACACCTGTAGCTGAGACAAAGCCACCAAAACCTGGTACAAGTTGCTTCTCACCACCACTCTCAACCACTCGCGCAAGTGACCAGACACGATAATCTTGAATGCATTTTGCATAGATTTCATTGTTCAACTCGGGTGGTGTAAATTCAGACCCTTCGGGAAATTTAGGTCCCACTCTACCATAAATGTGGACAGGAGCTAGAGTCTCTGGTGTATTAATTTTCAAGGAATGTGCCTTGCCTGCTTGGAGAGAGGAAGTGTCCTTTGTTGGTTAGTTGTATCTACACCAGGTTTTAGTTCCTGTATCATGATTCCCCCAGTGCTGTTCACAACATTTGAACCATGGATGTTAGTTGTTATTTTGTTTAAGTTGTCCCATTCAACATGAAACACTTTATTACTTTCGCCAGTAATAATCTGGGGAGTGAGTGAAGAGGATACTTCATCAAGAGCTTTTGCCAATGCAGTCTCAAGTTCTAAGCCAAAATCATAGGTCTCACAATGACCTAACCTACTTAGAATAGTGGTCAGCTGTCTACTGCGATAAAGATGCCGTATTGTAGTACACAGAAGGATATGTTTTGGCATTTTCCATTCCCCTTGTGTCACAGCACGGCAAATATCCCGAAAGAAAGACATATATGAAAAAGTACAAGACTGCATGGTATAAATTATCAATTTGACTCATTTACTCTTTATGTCACCACTTGGTGGTGACATATTTTTAAAATTTTTTGTGAATGGCAGTAAGTGATCGGCGTCTGTAACAAATTGTGTCTGTACCAAATGGCAGGAAGTGATTTTTGCATGTTAATGCCTTGTTAGAAATTTAAGATAAAAATCATACCTGGCCTATGGATAGAACAATACGCTTAGTCTTTTCGTGCATTTGGTCTTTATCTCCATCACCAACGATAACAAAATTTAGAAATCTAATGAGGTTAGGTGGTAGGATATCTTCTGAAGCCTTAATGAGTTCTTCAGCAGAAGGAGGCCAAGCTAATGACTTTGAATCTTTGTAAGCTTGCTGAATGATGCCACGAATAAGCAGGGCAACGTCCTTATATTCATCCTCAGATCCGAGCTTATATGCCTTGTCAAGGGCATCAACCACTGTGAGGCTGCTCTTGTAGATAACATTGTAGTTGATGCATCCTTTGTCACCTGGACTCACATTTGCAAAGCTTATCTTTTGATATATCTCGTGGTCTTCAATGCGAGCCTTAAGCTTCTCGCCCCTGTAATCTGAATTTGGGAAACCGTTTTTCTGCAACTCTTGAATATAAAGGCGACGTAGTGATACAAGCTGAACAACTTCATTCTCTTCAATCACTTTATTTTGAATTGAACTGAGGACAGCAGTAAAAGCCTTCATATGTGCATTGGCCTTTTGATCCTGCTCTGTATCAATGGTAGTGCTACATAGTTTACGTTTGTATGTGTTATATTTCAGACTGAATCTATTGCGACAGGACTCATGACTTTGGGCCTCTCTTGCAAACAGGTCTTCTCCCTGCACCAATCGATGTAAGTGATTGTATCCTAGTTCTAATGCTTGATGTTCAATCTTTTTCCAAGAAGGTTCTCTGAAGGACCCATCCTTGTTCTTGAATAAGGGAAATTTAGTGCACTTCTCTGTCTTTCCAGAAATTTTTATTTCAAGTTTTTGGCAAAATATGCATTCTTGTGGGAATGGATGCATTTGATCTGAGGATCGTCTACGAGGTGAGTGTGGGCGTGATGTTGAGGCTTCATTAGATGCAACGCTTGTATTACACTTCAGTCTATCTCGATTTTTAGTAAAGAGTTGGTAGCACCCTCTGTGATAACCAAGAGTTTCCAAATCAGCATCAGCAAGACTCTCTGGAATTAAATTGCACACTTCCTCCATGCGAAAAGGTGAGTCATTGGGTTCACAGTGTATTTTGTCACGCACACTAAGAATATAATCCAGTTTATCCTTGGCAGATCCCTTGACATTACCGAACATTGTGAAATTGCCATGTTGAATGTTATTCACATGCAAAATACAATTTGGCTGAGGATGGCCATAGTTTGATCCCGGCTTATCTTCAAAATCCATCTTGCGTTTCCTTGATTTAGGCATGATTAACTACTTGTAACATGTATCATTAGATCTTCATGTGTGAGTTTCTGCATATGTGACTATTGAATACCCTGACTTGTATTGTGATGTCATATTAGAATTACAATTTCATTATGACCACTACATGTATTTGCAACCAGTACACTTTCAGTTACTGAAACTATGTTGGCCTACAATCATTAATATCAGACTGTATCAAAAATATATAAACATATAAAATATGAAAAATATATAAAATAAAAAATATATGAATACAAGATGCAAGCTTTGGCCTACAGTTTAACAATAAGCAAGCAGCATTGGGCTCTATCTACATGCTATGGTTACTTGTAAGTCTGCTATAGCAGCTTCTGCTTGGATACAACATTAGTGTTTAATAGGACTTAAAATTTTGAATAAGAAGTGCCACGCCCCCTTTCAGTGATAAAGTCATGTGAAAGGTCATAATTTAATTTCTGACAATGTTTTCCGAAAACTTTCGATTGCAAATATGTTCAAAATTAATGTATCTATTTGTTAAACATCATTTATGGTCATGAATAACCAAGACTGGTCACTCGGAAGGAAAGGTAATGTGCGTTAACGTTGAAAATAGGCAAACCTTATGATTGATGATGTCACATTTTATGCAAATGAGGTGATTTGCATAATCATTGCATCTTATATTTTAGGATACTGTCATAGCTTCATTTTGGTACCACTTACAGCTTTCAATTCCCAAAACTGTGGAAGTTACTCTACTTTTAGAGAATTAACATCAAATCTTTAAAAATTCAAGATGGCCGAAAAGATGGCCGCCAATAGATACCATGGGACAATATTCTTGAGTATGGACCTTTAGGATCACAAAAATGTACATTAAAAAAATACATCTTTCGGGTGCATGGGAACCCTGTCTTCCTATCCGTCTAATGCCAAGGGGTGATATGTGTATGTTGTAAGTTTTTGAAAAAAATGTTTTGAAACGAAAATGACATCGTTTGTATTGTGGACCCTGGTTGATAGGCTTTATAATAACTTTTAACTTATGAAATACCAAATTAAATTAAATTAACCACCCTGTACTATGAAAATAAATTAATCAATTAGTGCTTTATATAACTATTCTTGTATGGTTCAAATTTTAAGAGTGTTACTTTCGTTAGCATTCCTTATATGGAAAAGAGGCGGTCTTAACATTCTTTTGAATCTGGTTAAGATAGCATCTTTTCAGTATAGAATCTCTTTTCGGATATTTTTGGTTTAAGCAACATTAACATTTCATTTAGATATAGACTTCAAAAATACATAACTTGCTATCGAAATTCTAAATTAACACTTAAAACCGTTAGCTTTTGAGCTAACAAACATGATATTATCAACATGTAACTTTTACAACTAGCGTAGGATTTATCCTGAACATTAATAAATATTGGAACATCATTTAACATTTTATGTTGGATTTTATATAACAACATCTCATAACGTAGGAAGGCCCAATATAACAATATTATCAACATGTAACTTTTACAACTAGCGTAGGATTTATCCTGAACATTAATAAATATTGGAACATCATTTAACATTTTATGTTGGATTTTATATAACAACATCCCATAACGTAGGAAGGCCCAATATAACACTATAAGACATAGCGTTCCTTTAGATTTGTAGATTAACTTACATATTACAGTTCTGAAACGTTGTACCTCCTCTTGTAAAATGTCTATGCTTATTTGTGGTGAGCATATGGATTTCAGCAATTTTCTGTCTAGATTCTCTCTAAATGGCTCTCAGCTACTTCAATATATTGGATAGCTATTCCTCCAAGAAATGAGATATCCTGGTTCACAAAACAAATTATGGAGATTTGCAGTCCAATATGTCATAGTAAATTGACAACATGGGTATGGGTTTGGTCTCTGATATACCGGGTGGTCCAAAAAAGTGAACCCCTGCAATAGGCTATATTTTTCTTAATACTTGCATCAATTGCCTCATATTATCACATGTTGTAGAGAAAGGTCTAAACATTTTATTGATGCGAAAGTTTATTCTCAGTCCTAAATTTTGAAGAAATTACAAGACTTAAACAAACATGCCTGAAAATTAGATTGTGCAAAATTTTACCAGTGCAATTCATGGAAATTGTTGAAACATGTTAGGTATTCTTAAAACAGCTTTCAGTTAGAGATAAATATGACCATGTGACAAATGGGATACTTTTTGAGCAGAAAACTCATTTCACACTTGCATTGATCATTTCAAAGCAGTTTTAATTGTTCAACAGTTAAGGGGCATGTTACCTACACAAATGGATAGAGAGGGGCAACGTTGCCCCCTGTGACCAGTATTCTGAGAAGCTCTTCATCAAAAATCTTTAGAAAATCTATTCAATGTTTTGAGCCATAATTCACTAGAATTCGTCAATGATTAATGAAGATATTGACTTTTCAAGATCATATAGGGAGGGCATGTTGCGATTTCACCGGGAAAAATTTTCGTCTAAGGAAACTTAGAACATTTCTTTTGATCACAATATCTTTGCAACTAGCAGAGGTTGGATGCTACATGATTCAAAACAAAACAAAATCAGAAAATGTTCGTTCTTAAGACTGCAGCTAAAGCAATTGTCAGGGGAAGGTTGTTGTAGGGTTAAAGAATCGCGGATGTTGAAAATCAAATTTTATCCATTTTCAGTAATATTTGGTTAGGGCATATAATTTCTGCAAATTTTAAGACTAAGAAAAATGTATGGTACCAACAAAAATTTTAGACCTTCCTCTACAACATGTGAAAATATGAAAGGATTCCTGAAGATAATAAGGGAAATATGGCCCGTTGCATGGGTTCACTTTTTGGACCACCCTGTATGTTTGTATCCACTAAACTAATTATACTGATAATATAATAGTGTTTTGATTTTGAACACTTGGATATCCAACCTGACTATGCTTTCTGGCAATCCCACTTAGCATAATAATGAGGGAAAATGATGTTGTATGACTCAGGAACTTTCCACCAGACTATGATTTCTGATGATGCACCAACCTGAAAGTTTAGTGTACATCAACAAACATTTAATGCTACTCAGCTCAATGAGAGTCTGTCATTGTGAAAGCAGAGGGCAATTCTTTGGTAAAAAGTCAAAAATAATGTGATGTGATTATACAAATATCCAGCAAGTTGTGTAGGCTAACACCATGGAACTTATCATTCCTTGGGCTGGGTTCGATTCCCAAATGACTTGATATAGTATTAATTTCACTATTATTTTGGCTTTTTATCCCATCGAACGAAGTTCGGAGGGATATAGGGAACGCCTCCGTCCGTCCGTCCGTCCATCTGTACGTCCGTCCGTCCGTCCGTACGTCCGTCCGTCCGTCCGTCCGTACGTACGTCCGTCCGTCCGGGCAATAACTCAAATACCGTTGGCCTGATTTTATTCATATTTTGTACATATATACCCTATGGGGGTAGAAGTTCTGCTCGAAAGCCGATTTTCAAAATGTCCGCTCATTTAAAAATGGCGGCCATTTTAGTGCCGATTTTACAGTAATTTAGGTGCAATATGTAAAACTGTAATAGCAATATGTTTTAAATGTAAAAAAAATTATATAGGACATTAATAAAGCTAGAAATGTAGATATTAAAAAAGCACATGGCAGCCATCTTGAAAAATGGCGGCCTTTACTCGTTATTTTACGATTTTTGCTGTAACTCGAAAAGTAGTGAAGCGATTTTGTTCATATTTGGTATGTGAATACTATAAGCATGGCACACTGTCTAATGACACTTTTGGTAGAAGGCGGCCATTTTGAAAAATGGCGGACATTTCGAAAAATGGCTGCCATTTTAACTTATTTTACTAAAACTCGAAAAGTAGTGGAGCGATTTGGTTCATATTTGGTATGCGAATACGTATAAGCATGGAACAATGTCTAATGACACTTTTGGTAGAGGGCGGTCATTTTTCAAAATGGCCGCCATTTTAACGTATTTTACTATAACTCGAAAAGTAGTGGAGCGATTTTGTTCATATTTGGTATGTGAATACTGTAAGCATGGCACACTGTCTAATGACACTTTTGGTAGAAGGCGGCCATTTTGAAAAATGGCGGACATTTTGAAAAATGGCTGCCATTTTAACTTATTTTACTATAACTCGAAAAGTAGTGGAGCGATTTTGTTCATATTTGGTACGTGAATACGTATAAGCATGGCACACTGTCTAATGACACTTTTGGTAGAAGGCGGCCATTTTTCAAAATGGCCACCATTTTAACGTATTTTACTATAACTCGAAAAGAAGTGGAGTGATTTTGTTCATATTTGGTATGTGAATATTATAAGCATGGCACACTGTCTAATGACACTTTTGGTAGAATATTCCCTTTTGAAAAATGTTCGATGGGATTCGCTACGCTTTGGCGTTGCCGTTGTTCTGGTTATGTAAGCATATCCATAGTTTTATGGAAGAACTGCTAAATTGTGCCTTAATTACATAATCCACTACTTTAGTGAAAAATACGGGGTCACATGCAAATGGGAGAGGGTCTATTATTATAAAAGCTTTGAAATGCCCTTAAGAAACTTTCGAAAAACGTAAAGCTCTTTCCACTCCCCTCTCATCTAGTGAAAAGGTCAAAGATTGGCGAGTAGCACTGTAGGCGTTTTGTTTTTGCAACTTTTTTACAAAATGGATTTACTTATTTGCAGTTGAGAAATCTAGTATAACTCCAAATATAGGATATATATCCAAGAATGTTCCAATGTTGAATCGTTCTAATAATCGATGATTGTTTTCTGATGAGATTCGGAATGTTCAGGTGTCTCGCTGTTGATTTTATTTAGATGTCTATATGAATTTATTTAGAGGTCCGCTATTTATTCCCGGATATTTTTAGAACTTCTTAAAAACTACCTGACCAAAAAGCCCTACCTGGGCAAAAGCTTAAGTTCAAAACTTGATCAGGTTGTTTTTGATTAAAAAGTAAAAATTATGGAATATGCACTCTATATGATCAAAATGTGAGACACGAACTAACATAGGCTTTTGTCTGACCGATTGTGTGCCATTTCTTTGGTAAAGATAGAAATACTTTTATAAAAATGTTATCACGGGATGCGATCGAAAGATTTGCACACCGGAGAGCATACCTTTTTCATATAAACCCAAGAAAACTTCACAAATTAAACTCATACATGTGTCAAACCCCTTTGTAAAGTGTAGTTGCAAAAGAAATATTAGTAATCTTAATGCATTTCACATTTGGAACTGCTCCGGTGGACAAAAAATTGAAACATTGATTTTAATAACAAAAATTGAAAAGACTCAATACATCTAGATCTCCTATCCATCATAGCCTTGCAAACAATTTAACCTATAGACACACCTCTGGTCAAGGTGAACTATTCAATGACTGAGCATCATAATGAACATGATAAATCGTGTAACAACATAACAGAACAATGACAAACAGTATGTTTTGTTAACGTGTTCCCTTTCCTCATTATTTTCAAAATTGCTGCTAATGTTATAATCAAAGGTAACCATTTAGTTTGTCCAATTTACTTTTGGAATAAATGAATATTTGATGATTAATAAGAATAAAGATACCCGAAAATGATATACCCATTGCATGGAGTAGATAATTTATTGTTGTTATATTTTAGAAACGTGAGTTTAATAATAATTTTTGAAGTTTTCTCAGTGTCTTGATGAAAAATAGCATGCTACCCACGGTAGACAATCCCATCATATGGTAATACAAAAATGCAATCCAGCATGCAGTCCAGTTGGGACAAGTAGAAGCTATTAATAAATGTGTAATTAACCCCCAGACCCGATAAGATATTTTAGTTATTATGCCTTTAAACTGATTCTTTAAATGTATTGTTAATTTAGATGTCTGGAAGAACCATTTACAATTGTATTTGTGTTCTGCTTTTTCAAAGGCGATTCAAATAAATGAATAAAATATGACCGAAATAAATAGTGAATTCATATCCATCCCAAAAAACAGAACATTAAATAAAGTATCCATATTCAAAGAAAAAGTTTCAGTTTTCAGATTTGAAACAATTTCTAAAAGTCCTCTTGAAAAACTTCCTGGGCGAACAGTCGAAGCTTTGTTTGGCAGATTTGTATTTTACATTTCATGAAATAGTTATTGAGTAGTAAAAGAAGAACGCTATGTATTTTATTACGTCCGAGTAAAATGCATCCGTAGAAAGATTTAAAATGCGATAGAATGATAATCTTTATATTTATTATCAGACTATTCTTTGCAACTTTATGACGTTCAAGGATTAGAGCACAGGCCTACTTTTATCCGCGTTTGATTGAAAATCAACATCTACCGGATTAGGAATTGATCTCTAGTAGAAATCCTAGAAAGTAATATTTTGTAAGTTATTGTCTTTTTAATGCTCTGTAGTCTGTTATGGATGTAACCAGGGTTTTGATTAATTTTCCGTTGTGTTCAATTAGCGTTATTTATCCCTTCTATAGATCTACTTCACCCTTAGGGGCTGTTTTAATAATCTACACAATGACTACATATTTAATTTATGATAAGTATTATAGAACAATAAATTGTGGTGATTACTTAGCCCACACTTTAAGACATTAATAAGTGAAGAAAGCAGAATTAATTAAATTAGTTGCGTCAAGAGAGCGTCCTCATTACGCGGCGGGATTCTTTGTTGACTCTCTGAAATATTCATGACATCACATGTTGGTATATAACAGACAGGGACTGAATGATTGCACGAAAAGGTAACGCAGAGAAGTGAAGGGAAGCTAACAAGACTTGTTCCATCAATTGGGCTACGGAGCCGTTTGGCCACAAGGTAAGACCGTTTTCTTGCAATTTTTTGTGAGATTCTTAAACGCGAAATTGATCTCATTAAACGGCTTCTGATCAGTTTTAACTTAACATTTCCCCATTACCAAAAATTACTGGAATAAGCTGGCAATCATCAGTATTGAAGTAAAAGGCCAAAATTAAACAAAATGATTATTTTATAATATATGCAATATGTGTAGTTTCTAAAGACGAGATGACGGTAGCTTGCATAGTTTTAATGTATTCTTATTTATCACTTTTCATCTATTAAGTGGTATAGTAAAGGGGGTAGATACAATGCGGGTGGTATGATTCGTCTATTTTCAAAATACTGTATTTTCAAATGCATTTGTTATGTACCAAGTTCGTCTTCTTTGACGGCTTAGACACACAGTGACTTACTACATGTACACTAATATTGAAAACGTGATAATAAGACAATATAGATATAGGATTAGTATGCGTTTGCTACAATTAATGATTATGTCTGTTTATAATCTAAAACATTGATTAATGACATTTGACGTTAATTCTTGCAGTCTAATTAACGTGTGACTACATCATAGCAGATTACTGGATTACTTCAACGATGTGAAATGCTTTATCAATGCTTATTTATAGACAGCAATACGAAATACTAACGTTCTCTATTATAATCTCATAAAACTATTGAAATATAAACCCATGATTCAAAAATGGGTAGTTAGGATTATCATGCGACCTATGTACAACCATGTACAACAAATGATTTTCGAGGCCATTGAGAAATTATTGAAAATAAATACTTAATATATGTTTCTCTGCTTTATCCCAAATATTTCCTCTCGAGGAATTGATATTCACTTGATCAAATTCTTTGTTGTATCCTTTCATTTCCATTTGATTCCAGGTGATTTGTAGCACCAGTCGTGAGCCGAGGGGTCGAGCCAAAGCGCGGTCAATCATGAAGACGATCTGTCTGCTCTGTGTCACATTGATAGCGGAGCTGACCAATGTACGAGCAAGGACATTACAAGAACAACAAAAAGTTACCTCGAAGGAGGTTAAACTCGAAGGCACCATAGAACACTTTCTGAAGACCCAAATTGCGGAGAATCTCAGTAAATTGGAAGGACATCATACAAATGATTACTTGAACGAATTCCAGCTTGCGAATGACGAAAAAAGAGGTTTCGGTGATAAACGGGGATTCGGAGACAAAAGAGGTTTTGGAGATAAACGGGGGTTTGGTGACAAGAGGGGGTTTGGAGATAAACGTGGTTTTGGAGACAAAAGAGGTTTTGGAGATAAACGGGGATTTGGTGACAAGAGGGGGTTTGGAGATAAACGTGGATTTGGTGACAAACGAGCAGGTGACAATGAACACATATTTGGCGTAACATCGGATGATTTAGACTATTTGAGAATGTTAACAAGATTATTGCTTAAAGAAGAACAACTTTACGATGAGACGAAAAATTCAATCAATCACAAACGGGACGGTGTGCCATTTTCGAACGCCTATACCACATATTTGTCATCCATGATTGAGAGACGTGGATTTGGTGATAAAAGGGGATTCGGTGATAAAAGGGGATTTGGAGATAAGAGGGGATTCGGGGATAAGCGTAACTTGTTTACCGCACCTAGATATAGATCTATGGACCAGAAAATTATAACATTACTCCACAAACTAGAAGCAAATCTGTTCAATACACCTACCTTAAAAGAATCACTTGCATCAAATAAAGATCAACATCTTGCTGAAACATTTTATGAAGAATCTTTGGAATCTGATGATGGGCAAACTCCAGCATCACAGAAGAGGGGTTTTGGAGACAAAAGGGGTTTTGGAGACAAACGCGGTTTTGGAGACAAACGAGGTTTTGGTGATAAAAGGGCGTTACGTAACCAAGGAGCGTTGGGTTTGGATTATTCTGACAAGTATGAAAAATGAAAATATTGCGGCAAAAATATGTTTGTTTGTTTTTTGCAAAGAATAGTAAGATAAATGAGACCATTACAATCACGAATTTATATGTACGATTCTAATCGACTATACCTTATCTTACTTTGGAGGAAGAAATATGGTACCCATTTTGAAAAAAGAAATGCTTGAGACACGCAAAAACAGTAACTGCATGTTACGGGTGCAGATATCTGCCTCACACGAGATCATGAGTTTCGTTCTTCGGCCTGTCGAACATGTGAATGAGAACCACACATGATCATTTGATCGCAACGAGAAAAGAATTGTGTGAACCAGGCCAGTTGTTTTAATTTTCTGTTTCGTTTCTGTTTGAATTGAGATACTACTTGATTTATCGGTCTCGAAAACGACACTTTAAATGAAAGCCATTGCTTCCCAGTCATCATTTATGTATAGAAACCACATCCACAATTATTTTGCATGCACGATTCTTTAGGCCACGAAAAACATTAAGATATAGTTTGTTTCATAAATAATGGACTTTGTTAATATAAGGCTCCATCGTTATAGATGTATAACCTTTTACATTTATTGAAAGAACTTTCGATACAAGCACCTATTAGCCGAACTTTTATCTAAATACCCATTGTCTTATAAGTGAGTAATTCGGGGATCACGCATTGAATGGCAAAGTGAAGAGCAATGTTCCGGTTTTAAATGTCAATAACAAAAATGATTACGATTTTCACTTTCGCTCTACTTTAAAAGTGTTCACTTGTACAAATTTCACAATTGGATCAGAAATATATTTCACAGTCACTAAATCTATATATGACATTGTTTGTAAATTAAAAATATTCTCCCACAAAAGTTTAGCATCCTGAAGTCCCCACTCTGATCGTGTGTTAAAGTAAGGTCCCTAATGCCTCAGTCACATTTGATCTTCGTCAGCCGTTGCTTATCGGGAGAAATATACAGCATAAAATATACGCATTGCGTATGATAGAGATTTTCTATATCAATTTTGTGAAGCTACGGCCGCCATAGAGCAAATATGACCGAGGCCTTATATGAAGATGTTTGAAAATTCATCTTATGTCATTTTTCAACAAGACAAAATTAAGATTTAAATATAAGTAAGCTTTTATACGCTACCCAATATAGGGCCTTTCGGTTGCCATTTGTGGAAGGAATGTACAGTAATCAATAGAAGGATATTATTACTCTTGATCATGGGACTAATTTGAGTCAGTTCTGCAGTTGTATTTAATATCTAATCTAAAGTGTGGTCAGTAATAGAAGTACTATATTACAGACCTGTCAACCTCCCATTTTTTACTGGAATCTCCCGTAATTTTTTGTTTTTCCGTAAAACATAACAAACTCCCGTATTGTTATCACCCACGTAAAAACTCCCGTACCGTATATCTACTAAAATCTCCCGTAATTTATTTTTTCTCAACTCGTTTTTTCCTGTGAAAATGGCCGTAAAATCTCCCGTATTTTTTCTGAAATCTCCCGCGAAATCTCTCGTATTCTTGGTTAAGCTCCCGTAAAATCTCCCGTTTATGCTGTCGAAATCTACTGTATTTTCAAAGTGACCGTGATTATTGGAGTCACACTTCTTTCTTTTACTCTCAGTTTCGCAGGAAAGCACACGTGCTCATGATTGTTCACGTGATTATATGATACAAAACTAGTGAAAACCTGATGACAATAATGATTAGAACTACTTTTTATAGCGTTTATAGTTTTCGTGATTGGGTTAATGAGTTTGTTATGATCAGTGAAGGACGCATAACCTGATACAACAAACCAATAAAACACAAATCCAGGCACAATCTATAAAACACTTCCAAAATGAAATACCAATATACACCACTAACTTTCTCCAACTTGAGATTACACCAAATGCAATCACTGAACACAATCGGGCACAACCCGATTCCCGGACCTGATCCCTACTCGATTTGGCCCTAGGGGCAATTTGGGCAAGGTTCCATTTTTATTAGGTTTGGTTTTTGCGCATTCGCATTAAATTTTCAGAACCTACCGGAAAAACTCCTGTTTTTAAATCTACCTCAAAGACTCCCGTTTTTTGAAAATCTCACGTTTTTTAGAATCTACTGCGAAAACTACCCTTTTTAAAATAGCTAACGTAAAAAACTACCGCAATTCAAAATCTACCGTAAAACTACCGTTTTTATCAAAATCTACCGTAAAACTAGTTTTTTCCCGTTAAAGCTCCCGCCTTATTAAAAAAAACTCCCGCAAAATCTACCGGATTTTAAAAAAGCCTTCCGTAAAAGTACCGCAATTTTTCAAAAAATCTCCCGCAAATTTTTCATTTTAGGTTGTCAGTATATTATGTATCCTGATTATTGTATCCTTTAAAACATCCGTCAGTACATTTGCTCTGTGACGATCACACGTCGGTCGCAGTTCCCTGAAATCGGTAAATTTCTACAGCGACCGTAGGAAAACTACGGCTGTCTTGAAGTCTCCGTGCGGCGTATTCACTTTTTACAGCCCGTACAAATGCAAGCCGTAGCTAAACCGCATAAAGGTTCCACGATGGCCGTACTTCAGTCGATATGTGTTTAAATGTCTACCATAGATTTAAAGGATTATATCTGGATATCTTGATCTTTTTACCTTTTTTTACCATTTTTTGATAGGCATAATGAGTGTTTATATAGGATATCCTATGATTTTGAGTGATATCCTTTTTCCACGAGTAATTATATCTATGTATGAGTGAGCGTAACGAATGAGTACAGATATTGATAATGAGTGGATGAAAATGTAACGAAAAAACATTTGATGTTCTATTTTCTCCGAAGTTCGCTCATTAAACTATCTTAAGTGCCAATCAACCAACCATTTCAAAAAAAACATTTCATTTTATTTTCAAAACATCTGTGAATATGTTGACGTCGAGTCTTGTTTTCCTTGCTTTGTTCCCATTTGCCTGTTCTTCTATGAATGTATTGACATTCTCACGGCTGATAAAAGACGACGCACGACCAGAGTAGGGCGGCCCGGCGAGTTCAATTTTCTTGACTAAAACCAAGGACAGTCGCAAGTCAACCGTACGTCCTCCTTGGGGCTTTCGCACGGTTTGTCTAGTTTGGCTAGTAAGCTTCTATAGTGACCACAGGAATGAAAAAGTTTAAACTTCGAGTTATGACTTCTGGTGGCCTATTAAAAATAGTTACCTCAGAGATATTTTACATCGATATTCCTTCAAAACCTTTATGGCCTTGTTGTTTGCTTTTAATTGTATTATACGAGACATTTGATTTTCTTTCTTTTTTCTTCAATTTCATCAGCTGGAAGTGCAGTGTAGCGAAACGTTTTTTCGACTTTCGTCTGCCATATTGGATTTTAAAATTTTTTACTAGTTCATGAAAACAATGTGCATGCTTTATATTGATCTTTTTATATTCACAGATGTGTGTTTTTTATTTTAAAATTATAAATTGTGATGATCACCGTATCATTTCCTGATATTCAAATCAGGTATTTCTAGCAAAATGCAAATATTAGCATGCGTTGGTGTAAACTGATCACCATTGATTTTTTTCGGTAATAGTCATATCCTGGATGGAAATCTGGGGCGTTGAGATACTAGACCGTATCCCAACGCTGACGTCTTTTTCACTCTGTATCCAACGCTTAGTGGAATGTGCGTGTAAATAAGGATATATTTAAGTCACGTGCACCAATCAGATTGTAGGGAATTTCACAATCATGGAATAAAAACCCATATTCAATCCCTCCCGGTAAAATAACCTCCAGTGTTTAGTTAGCTAATCAACACTACTGGTCAACAGCAAGATGAACAGCAAAGAGCATGATGCAAGATAAAAAACTAAATTCGTTCGGTATAGGTCAACCTTCGATTTCAGACAAACCAAGTGAATCCTTGATTCTAAGTAATTATTTCGTCATGTCATTTTTGGCAGTGATGATACCAACTGAAACGGGTGATGATACTGACTGTGGGAAAAATATGTTAAAAATCTCAACTGTTTGAGTTACGTGTTTTCATCAATGGTGAAATTAATATTGTATCAGTCAGAATCATCATCCATTTGAGTTATTATCATTACGCGATCATTGTTTGTTCTCGTTTCCAATCGGGACCTTATGCCTAATCGTTTGCATGATGAAATATTTGGTATTCAGGTTTTACTTGGTTTAGTAGGTATCGTAGATTTATGATATTAAACTAATATAGTCCACAATCTTGGATGATACAAACTCCAGTTAATATTACCCTGCTTTGGACCAGTGTACAATAGATAAAATAAGTGGAAAATCAACAAAACGTTTGATAGTGCTTAAGTTTCAGTGTAAATATGTCCATTGTATCAGTATGATAAACACGGAATAAATTGAAATATCTCAGAACAAGTCGATCTCAGCCTTGTGTAATCTATACACATTGTAAGATGAGGGATACGACGACAATGTGCATTTATTTGGCAATGGATATACACGATTTATGAATATAACAGACCTTTGAGTTTATTTCGTCTGGGACGATAAGACAATAAATAATTTGATTTAATGCCATATTCAGGTTTGTATATTGATTGTCTCCATCGGCCAATATTAATATCTCTGAGACTTGAGTCTTCTGAACGAAAGTTTCTGCTACGACTGACCGAAGAACAAGATAAATGAGCTCAAAATCAGGTACGTTTCTATTATTCTTTATAAATCAATGATCAAAACACAGGTTCAAGTTTTGTGCGTCTTACACATTTATTGGGAAAAGTCTCATCATCGAAACAACAAATTCAATACCTTGCCCGAGAACTGATATTCGTCTTCCATGACTTCCCTGTCGTCTAAATATGTTACAGATCTTTAAGTTGGTTCTATTTTTAATGTGCTCCAACAAATTCAATACAACTTGCCGTGCCTTTTGGAATACATTTGTACTTTTGGTTCTAATTTGTAAACAATTCATTTACTTGTAGTTGAATGACTATGACAGTCATTATTCAAATGTAATGCAGCAAAACCTCACAACCTCCCAAATTAGTCATATGAAATATAGTGTGTACACTTCATGGGTCTTCTAAAATTACCAATATTCCCAAAGTTTTTAATTAAGGAGTTATGCTGCTCCATAACAAAACGAATTATAGAATGAAGTTAAACTTTTATATTGTTGTTCAAATTTCAACAAAACCTACACTCATTGCGACTCGTTTTTGAAATTAATGGTAAAAATTCACTGATCTTAGGAAAACATCTTGTCAAGAAACATAAGAAACATGTATACTGTATTATCTTTCAAACGTTATATTCTATGTTTAAATGTTCAACGTTTATTTAGTACATTTTCAAAAACCCTCACCTTTAAGCTTTTTTGTCCTCACTTTGTTGAAGCCATATTTTTTCCGATGAAAAGTTGAAAAAGGTGTTTTGAGAATGTGATGAAAAATGTCCGTCTCAAAATTGTTAATACTTTTTACATAACTTTTGCAACAGTGCCAGCAATAAATGTTGAGACTTATCTGAGATACATGCACTTGGTGAAATCAATAAAATAATATATAAAAAGATGTTTCATTTTCGGATATTTGTGTAAAAAGATGCGTAATAATACAGTATTTCCATTCAGTATTGTAATTATTATATTATATTATGAAGGAAAAAAATATAATCAGCAAAATATACTCTATTATATAGAGATTATTATATTATATCTCTTTATTTCCCATTTAGCATGGAGTACAAAAATTTAAACATTTAACACAACAGTGAAAATTAACCAAAAACAACGACATAAAAACACATCTAAAAATTTAAGACAATAACAAAAAACACACAAAACAACAAGAACAATCCACATCTAAAATGTCAATGACAAGTAATAAAGTATATATTAAAAAATCACAAACAGTGGTGGAAAGTCACATTTCTAAAAAATATTTGCATCACTCTAAAATGGAGTGGTAAGATCAATATTTAAAAGTTCTACAACAGTACACAAGAAAGGTAGGAGAATTGCCAAGACTTTTGAATTGTCTGTAAAATATAAGCTGGAGAGGCCTTTCACTGACACACAAAAGGGGTTTTCTCGAAAATCCTTTTTTAACGACTCTATCTTAAGCCCAATTCTGTTAAGGTTCAAGACATCGCTTAAGTTGTGTAGCATTTCATTGCGAGCATCTTCAGTTTTGGAACAATCCAACAGTCCATGTGAAACCGAATCCGGAGTTAGCACGCCACAGTGCTCACACAGGTTTTCATCATTACTTAATGGGATTGTTAACAGTTTTGAGGCTACAGTGGCAAACTTTAGCAGACCAGGGACGACCTTTGAGTGTTTCCAAAGTGGACACGGTTCTATTGAATCTTGTATTTGTCTCAGTCGACTAAAACTAACATCATTAGAAGTTCTATCTTGCCATTCGGAGTTTTGTACTGAATTTATTGTATGTTTTACAATGTTTTTCCAAATTCTTTGTGGCGGAAAATACCCACTAACTAAGTATTCGCGTAATGAATCTAGACTGTATTTATTTAATATTCTGTGAATATCAGGAATAAACCCCTTCTGGGAAGGGGACGTCTCATTTAAATGTAGTCTGGTAAGAAACACACGTTTCGCCAAATGAGTGTGCTTCAGATGTATAAGGCGTCCTAAAAAGAGTAATTTTTTACTATCTATCATTGATTCAATGTTGTTTAAACCGAGCATTCCTAAGGTTAAGTCTGTTCTTGTCCATTTGGATTGGTCTTGCAGCGTTTTAGCGATGAATCTGAGACCTTTTTCAAGCTGGAGGGTTTGTGTTTTTGTCATTTCATACCAAAGCTCGGCACCATATAAGGCTGTGGGAATACAAATGCATCGAGCGAGTTTAGCTCCTGTTAAGGGGTTTAGTCCACGGGGGTGTACACCAACACCTACTAAACTGGCAAAACTCGAGCGTAAAGTTTGACACGCCTTGTAGACTTTAACTTCAGCAGAAAGTGTGGAGTTATAAAGGTTTCCCAATTATTATTCTCGCCCAACTTGATGTACAATCCATCTGGTTAATTACTTAACCAAACAAAACAAAGAATGCACAGCATGGCAGTTAATAGGATTAACCGTTCTACTGGCCTTCTCATCTCCATTACTTACAAATGTCACACATACATTTTATTTTGATTGTTCTATTTCTATTTGAAACATATTTACAAAATAAATATTTAGAAGAAATTAATAAATTTAATTTGATTAAAATTAATGTTAACAATGGAGTAAACATGTGAAGAAAAGTCATCAATTAGAAATCAAAAAATTAACTTTCCGATGAGTTAATCAATTCAATCCAAATTTTAACACAATGTTAATCATAGAAAGAGGGACACTATACCATCAAATAAATATGAAAAACTTAATTTGCAAATTATTATTTTTTGTGGAAATTAGAAGAATCAGTTCTAGATATTAATCCATTAACTCTAACAAACGGATTAGTTATCAGTGAACAAAACTCATTTCATAGAAATTGAAAAAACTTAGGGATTAAGGTATTACTTATATTGCTCAATCAATACATGTATGTGAATGGTGAAAATCTGCATGATTTTGAAAGAATTGTTGGCAAGGGGAGGGGATCGTTACTCTATAGGTACGGGCCTGTATAAAATGCGTAATGTACTTGTATTTAACTGAAAATTGAGCAGTTCTGTGTCAGAGGCAAAGTGTGGTTGGCAAAGTGAATACAGGTGGTTGTTTGTGTCTCACTCTGTGTAAGAAGGGGCCTTAAATGTTGTTTGTTGTAAACTTAATGTGGCAGAGAAACAATGGAGTGGAAACCCATTGATTAAAACTTAACTTTCCGTTGAGTCAATCAATTAAATCCAAATTTTAACACAATGTTAATCATAACATAAGGGGCATTATACAATCAAATAAATATGAAAAACTTAATTTTCAAATAATTTTTTTGTGGAACTCAGAACTGTTGGCTGTAGGAAATTAATCCATTGCCTCCAACAAACAGATTAGTTGTCAGTGTTAATGAAGCTCATATTAAAAAAAATTAAATAATTAGGGATTAACATTTTACTTATCATATTGCTCTGACATGCTGTATGTCAATATGTTATTTACATCAGTTTGTTCTACCATGCACCAATTTGCTCAAAAGCGTAATCATTGCTTTGTCAGATGAAACATTAAATTGTGCCCACTTATTTATTTTCATTATCAAACAACTAAACATACCGAATCTCGCACCTTTTGAATATATATATTTGGAAATGGAAAACAAAGAAAGTTGTAATAAAAAGAAATGATCCAATTCTAGTAGAAACAAATGTACAACATCATGTACTAATCTGATGTTTATATCCCCCCTCCCGGGATATCCCCGGTTTATATCTCAGATATTATATGGATAACAGAAAACACACGAATTGTGAAATGTGAGAGAATACAAGTTCTTATTTTGTTTTAGCATGGATTAACACCACTTGTATCGGTTAACCTAATGGACGTTTCCTTATTTATTATCAGTGATTTGTCAGAAAAATCGGAGCAAAACATACAATATATTACAGGCTTGTAATAAGTTTTAGCCAAGCGGATCAATTTTCAAAACATACCAAGGGTTCACAATTGATAATAGGATTTTGAAAGAATTTTGGCAAGGGGAGGGTGATTTAATCGAACCCAACGACCCCCCCCCCCCCCTTCCTTGCCATGGACCTGTATCAAATTTGTAATGTATTGATATATAGCAGTTTCGTGTCATCAATGTTTTGTGTTGTTTGTGAAGTGAATAAAGGTGTTTGTGTCTGTGTGAGAGAGGGCTTTAAGTCTTGTTTGTTGTAAGCTTAATTTGACAGAGAAACTATTGTTTTAAATTGTGAGGAAACCAAATGGAGTAAAAGTGTGAGGAAAGCCATTGATTAAAAATTAACTTTCCATTGAGTCAATCAATTAAATCCAAATTTTAACACAATTTTAATTATAACATAAGGGACATTATACGATCAAATAAATATGAAAAACTAAATTTGCAAATTATTTTTTGGTTGAAATTAGAACCATCGGCTGTAGAAATTAATCCATTAACTCTAACAAACAGATTATTTATCGGTGTGAACAAAACTCAAATCATAGAAATTGAATAATTAGGGATTAAAGTTTGACTTATTATATTGCTCTGGAATGTCAATACATGTATGTGAATGTTGAAAAACTATATGAATTTGAAAGAATCGTTGGCCACGGGGAGGGGGGTCCTTAAGTATGGTTCTGTATAAAATGCGTGATGTGTTTATTAATTATTGAGCAGTCTGTGTCATGACCGTTTTTTGTTGGCAATGTGAATACAGGTGGTTGTTTGTATCTGTGTAAGAGGGGGATTTAAGAGTTGTTTGCCAAAAACCTAATGTGACAGAGAAACAATGGAATAAAAATGTGAGGAAAACCAATTAATTAAAAATTCAAAAATTAACTTTACAATGAATTAATTGATTGAATCAAAAATTTAACACAATGTTAATCATAACATGAGGGACATTATACAATCAAATATATATGTAAAAACTTATTCTGCAAATTATTTTTGTGGAATTTTTTAGAGCCATCAGCTGTAGAGATTAATCCATTAACCATAACAAACGGATTAATTACTTAAGTATAAGTATGAATGAAACTCATTTCATAGAAATTGAATAATTAGGGATTAACGGCTCGAAAATAAACGCGTATAATCGGTTTTTGATTGCAGATGCCAACATATTATTTGCTCCTGACAAAAATATTATTCTATATTATATGGTATTATATGTTGTTCCCTTTAAATAATACACAAATAATATTATTAAATCAAAAATAATTCTTCAAAATACGTATTATATTTTTTTTCCGCTATAATACAAAAAATAACTGCCTATTATACAGGAAAAAATATTCTCTATGATTCTCTCTTAATGCAACTTATTTTGCAGTATATTAAACATTTTATTCTATATTATTTTAACATTTTTACCAAGTGATGTCACATGCCATTACATGTCATTCTACGGATTACACTTTCAGGAGATGTCAAAGGCAATAGACGAGATCAGGTGTGAACTATCAATTGGAATATATCCAACACAAAATAAAGGAAATGGTGGTCTGTGCAATACATTTTTTAGAGGCCCCTCGTGGTCGTTGCAGTCATTATTCACATTTGCAATGTTATTGGTATGCATTCAACAAGTTGCATCTAACTGTGATACCAGCTGTCTTGGGACAAGAACAAATTGTACAATTGACAAGAATAATAACGCGTCTTTAAATAGATGTCAGTGCTTTTATGAATACCTTTACGGCGACACTTGTACGAGCGTTGATATGTTACAAGTAACCACCGAAATAGACACTGAAAGTATATATTATAATGTGAAAGTATCCTTTATTGACCCACACTGCCTCTCCAACTACACGGTTTTAGTGTTGCAAATGTTCAGTTTTGAGAATATAACAAATGCTTCCATCCCAATACAACAAGTAGAGATAGGCTGTAAATCAAACGTGATGATAGACGGTCTCCAGAGCTTGGGAGAGTACCGTTTGTGTGTCGCATATAATGGAGAAGTTAGTCACATGATAGTCGAAGATTTTAGCTCGCTTGATAGACGTTGTATTACCATCAGAACTGGACGTGATTGGGGCATATACATCATAGCTGCCATCATTGTAGGTGGATTCATTGGAGTTGTCTTTGTTATATTGTGTATTATGAGATTAGCCTGTAGTAAAAAGCTGGACGACACCCCGCCCACTACTTCACATCGACGATGCGAGGAACACAGCTAGGACTCGCCAATGTATGGCTATGTATACTATGATAAAAATACAAAACCATTTTCCTTAAAAATCGTAGTATTAATCATCTTGCATGATCCACCTCACTTACTAAATAGACCTCCCCTTTTGTGATTACTTTTTGCAAGATTTTATTCCCGTTATTTTTTCTAGCTCGAGCCACAGATAAACGATACATTTTGGCGTAAAAATCAGTGATTGCGAGTGGAGGGGCAAAGATCATGAACCAAAATATTTAAATTGGAACAATATCAAGTCAATTATTTTTCTTTCTTTCATTTTCTTACAAACCACTGACTGCTATTTATGATACATCTTGAACTTGGAATATCAATGCTAAAGACAAAAATAAGTTGAATTGAAAATGTTGATTACAGTATTTACAATTGCGTGTTCCATTGATTTCAATGGTTTTCGCGATACCTGCTTTCTTTGAAAGAACATAAAATCAGTTGTAGTGAAGCTTTAATTTCCTTGCTTTTAGTTCTTTTTGGAAGATAATAGACTATTATTTTAGAAAATATAGCATTTTTAGCACCAGAAAATTTTCTTTGCTGAAGGGGCAATTGAATAAAGTTGACAACTATACCAATATTATTGAAATCAAAACAGGTGATAAAAAAAGTCACCGAGAGTGTTCAAATGCCCCCCCCCCCCTTCCCCTTGCGACTTAGCCTTTATGTGTACAACCTATTTTTATAAAACTAATTGACAGGGTTTTTGACAGTTTCAAGATTTTATTATATTATAGGTCAAACTATCGAGGGAGGTGTATTAAAATCTCAAAGAAAGTAGGTCAAATTTGGTCAAGAGAGGTCAAAGTAACATAAGGGTGGGCATTTTTCGCGTAAATTGTACTTTTTCAGTTAAAAACAGCAAATAATGTTTTTTAGACAGAAAGGGGTACTACATGTGATAGATGTTTATAGTATCTACCTTTTTAGGGCAAAAACGTGGGTAAATACTTTTCCTAGATCCGGAGATCTGGAGGTAATTTGGTCGAAAATTTGACGACATGAAATATCGAAAAATGGGGGGATGGGAGACAAATCGCAGCCTAGGCATAAAATACCTAAGAGATAATATTTTTTTAAATTAACCTCCTATATACCCATAGCTATAATATAGTGTAAAAATGTGAATATTGGTTGAGCATTGGCTGAGAAAATTTGTTTTTAGTTCATCTCGGGTCGCGAAAACGTAAAAACTGGTACATAATCAAAATATTACATAGAATCACTTGTATACAATCAATATTTTAAAATAAATAAAGCCACTCGAGATGACAGAATTTTTTCTCAAAAAAATATTACATTGTAATATGGCTTGTTAGAAAGTGTCACTATTCTATATGGTCTATATTCAAAAGAAAGGAAATAGAACCAGCTGATATATTTATTGTATCCTAACTCAGCCAAAGTAGGTCACCTCGATTTTTGCACCAAAAATGGTATTTTATCTGTAGCTATAGCTACTACGATTATATAAATATACACCTCCTTGGTAGAGAAGTAGCGGGGGAAAATCCGGAGGGGGTCAGGTCATACCCTGTACACATTAGGGTATGAAAAATACGTTGCAGACATTGGGGTTAAATGAGGGGTGTTCTGTATTTGGTTGGACGGTGCTTCGCTCATTTTCTTCGCTCACTTTCACTTATTAGTGCCATGTGCTTAAAAATGTCCTATGGTTTGAAACAAATGTTGATTGAAATATTAAACTGAGAAATGAAAAATTAAGCCAGTTATTGTCATGGCATTAATAGGTTTCCTTAGAAGAACATTATGAACTTGTACTGAGGTTCTTAGCCTCATGCAGGACTTAACATGCTTAATGTAACTCGCCATCGTTAATAAACTGTTCTTTTAATTGAGTGTTGCTTATGACAGGGCATTGTACCCTCAATAGTTATAAGGTCCCAATTCACCATTGAAAAGGTGACGAGAGTGTCAGCTTGATGATATGATTTTCACTCGTTCGGAAAATTATGTCAATTTTATTTTCAATTTGGAAATATATAATCACGTAAAAAGTGTTCTTAGCAACATAGATGTATATACGCTCGTAATTAGGATATTTGACCTTAATTGTTATGTAAACTTTTTTCTTTGAAGGCAGCAGCTCTTTTCATTCACTTTCCATTTTATAGTATAAAGAATATATTTGTGTCACTCTCTACGACCAATTATGTTACTTTGTTTCTCTATAGTTCATAAGAGGGTGGTTGTATGTGAAAATGTATGCCTTTCTGAATGTCTCCCTTTATTAAACTGAATGAAGTTCTGACACTGTATGTAAATATTCACCAACAGAAGAGTATTTATAAAGGAGCACGTAGGTTATCGCAAACAATTTCAAATGATTCTAACTTGAATTATGAATATTTTTTGATCATGAACATGGGTGTATCTTTTAGATCCATTCATTATCTTCAAGAAAAGTATATATAATGATAATTTAGTTAATCAGACCTAAGTGATATTGAAGGGGCAATGGACCAATCAACATACTTTTTCAAAATTGTTGACCTAATTTTCACCAAAAATGCAACCTATTATAATATTGTTGAATGCATAATTAGAATGTGCTTTGAGACATGTTCGATTTCCTAAAAGGAAAATTTGATTGCTCAAGGGACTTTAAAGATATTCAATTTGGATGACCAAAATGAACTGAAACCAATGGATAGCATGAGATTTTTCAATGGAGAAATAACATGGGGAACACTTATCTTAATGTAATTAAGTTTTTCTTTCAAGAACTTTTTGATACATCAAAATAAAGAATAGTAATGCATTAAACATTGTAAAAAATGATTGCATTTTTGGTGAAAATGGGGTCAACATCTTCAAAATGGGGTCAAAAAGTGTGTTGATGGGTTAATTGCTAGTTAAATATCTCCGAGTTTGTTTGAATTTATTATTACTGTGCATAATTTTCTTTGAGATAATGAATTGATCTAAAAGATAAACTTGTCTTCATTGTCAGAAAATAGTCATAATCCAAGATATAACCTTCTGAAATTGTTTGCGATAACCCACGTGCTCCTTTCTTAGTATTCGACAATATTATTATTACAACTAGTTTTTTCTGACACCTTATTTACAAATAGTTCATGTATGACATCAAAGATAGCTTAAGACTTCATTATCATTTCGTTGCATATCCAAAATTCAAATACATTAGAATAATCAACTGTTAACAGTCTTAATATACATATTTTTGTTTGCTTTCCTTGTAGTTGCGTTTCGAGAGCAGATGATAATGCTGGCTGAAGCAGAAGTCTGGCTTTTACATCTTCTTGGACACAGTATAGTTAATCAATTATCAAATAGAGTACATTGAAATAATGTATGTAGAATATGATATTTATGCTTCAGTAGAAGATTACAGAAAATACTAGTGTAGTGTAGAACACTTCAATCTTGAATCTGCACCTTCAACCTGTGACTTACAAGGAAAGGAAGAACTTATCCTCGGAGGACCATGCTTTACAAATTCATCTTCAAGTTTTCTTAAAAACGTGTAGCTTAACTTCTTATTATTACCACCTTGCCGGGCCAATTCTAGGGGTTTTAGTGCTAGTTTAGAATGCATTAATTTTACGATATCGACCTGAGCAATATGTGACGTCATAGTGGCAGTCCATAATGGCGGTCAATAATGCAATTAATGACCGGCAATTTTCCCCGGGAAATTATATATCGTTCAGTGCGTAAGCTTTTCTTGCTATTTCAACCCTGGTCATTAACGGTGGTAATAACACTAATAACGTAATTTCTTCGGGAAATGTAGTGACAATTTCACTTGGTCCAATATTTCACTATATTGCCCTTCGAAATGGCGTTATTGTACTATTTTTGTTAATGTTTGTCCTGTTTGATATCTGGGGCTTCGTTAATTCAATCTATGAAATATCAGAATTATACCTCAATCCAATTGTGAAAGATGAACCTATCACTCGAATATCTTCAAAATCAAAACTATACAGACAGAACGCCTAAGTAAGTAAAACCGACACATTTTTATGCATGCAAATGTAGAAGACATATTTATAAGTACGATCCAAATAGTTTTGGAAAAAAGAGAAAAGTGAAGAATATGAAAAAAGTGAAGTTTGATCAATTCAACAGATTCAATTTAAGAGACACCCATGAACAGATACTAGATATAGTACATTTTATGCAGTCGTAATTTGTTTATTACAAGCTAAGATCAAAATGGTTTTTGCAGGATACAGGGCAGAGGTAGATCCAGGTTTTTTATCACATCCAAACATAGATTGATCCTCACGATCTACTCAATCTCACGTGAAGAACCACCAGAACCATCTAATATATGTATATAATAACAGAAACTTTGCAACTAAGTTTGTTCAGTTTTAGATCTGGGCCTTTTCCTTCTTACAGCTGAGCTGTAAATATCTGGAGATGGCCATCAGACTCAGAGACTGTAAGAAGCTAACATTACTGGGAATATCACAAATGGGAAGTTAAAATGCTTAATTTTTCTATTGAACTATGTAAAATTTGGCTATTAACATCCCGAAAGACACAGTCAAGGATGACTAAACTACAAGCTAACTAATATAAATAACATATATGTTTCTATGAATGTTCATCTCTCTGGTAGTAATGTACAAAGTTGTTGAATTTCTTTCTCAGAGATATTTATTTTTATTTTTTGACGTTTCGTAGGATGTCCATCCTACTTCTTCAGAAATAAAATTATATTTGAATCAAAACATGAAAGAAGAACATGAAATAAAGAACATGAAATGAATTGGACAGGTGTATCGGTTATTGATAATGAAAAACACTGGTTAAAAAGAAAAATCAAAGAAGCAATCCATATTAAACTTAAAAGTCCAGAATTAAACAGGGATCAGGGTTACACACTGGATCCCGTCTATTTTAAGATGTTATAGTTTATTCATATTCATAATGTCTTAGTGTCGTTTCTAGGTGGTATGTTGTGTTACCTTAGAAACGTTTTTAATTGTATATTACATCATTGAAGCTTTTTATGGTAACGGTTGCTATTTTTCTCAATTAATTGTTTAATTGATGATTTGCGATCACCGAATGGATT